TTAATTCATTCTCAATTGCTGAGATCTAAGGAGATATTTTTTTTAGCCAGGTGCCAATAGGCATCTCCACAATCTTAGGACAAAGACATAATCAGAGTCCAAAACAGAGGCTCACCTCCTTATAAACACATCAAGTTGATCAGGTTCCCCAATTAACTCCTTACAGAATATAAAAACAACAGGAAAGAAGCTGAAGGAAAGGAGGACTAATGGAACAAATCTGTCTGCCAGTACTATCTATGGGAAAATAGGTTCCAAATTCTTTTTCTCTTTTTTTCCTCCCTTCCTTTTCTTCCCCTTTCTTCCCTCTCTCCCTTCCTCCCTCATTTGCTTCTTTCCTTCCTCCCTTCCTTCTCTCCATTCACTTCTCTCTCCCTGACCCCACATCAACAAGCATTTATGAAGCGCCTACCATGTGCTAAGTGCTGAGTATACAAAAGAAGGAAAAAACCAAAATGAAATAAAATAAAACAATCCCTGCTCTCAAGGAGCTCACAGTGTCATGGAGGAGATGACATACAAACAACTTGGACAAACAAGAAATATTCAGCATAAACTAGAGATAATCTTAGAAGGAAAGCACTGAGATTAAAGAGGAACAAGAAAGGATTCTTGCAGGTTGGTTTAGACATGACAGAAGCCAGGGAAACAAGGAGATAAGAGATCAAAAGCATGGGGAACAGCCAATGAAAATGCATGGAGTCAAGAGATGAAGTGTCTTGTTCAAGGAACAGATAGAAGACCAGTGTTACTGAATTGTTGAATACATGGAGGGAGCAAGGTATTAGAAGACTGGATAGATAGGAAGGGGCTGGCTTATGAAGGGCTTTAAAAGCCAAAGGATTTTATATTTGCTCCTAGAGGTCTTAGGGAACCACTGGAGGTTACTGAATGGTGTTGGGATATTTGTGATATGCTTAGAGTTTCATGTTAAAAAGATCACCTTGATAGCTGAGTGGAGGTTGGAATGGAGTAGGTAGTTTTGAGGCAAGGAGACCAACCAGGAGGATATTGCAATACTACAGGTGTGAGAACATAAAGGCCTACAACAGGGTGGTGGCAGTATTAGCGGAGAGAGGAGGGTATATAATGAGATGTTGTAGTGGTAGAATTGATAGAACTTGGCAACTAATGGGGGATGAGAGAATGAGGAGTCAAGGATAACACCTAGATTGGGAGTCTGGGTGACGTGGGAGGATGGTGGTACCCTCCACAGTAATAGAGAAGTTAGGAAGAGGGGGGAGTTTTGGGGGAAAGACAAGTTTAGTTTTGGACATATTGAGTTTAAGATGTCTAAGAGACATATCTTAAGATCCAGTTTGAGATATTCAATAGGCAAGTGGAGATCAAGAGAGAGTTTAGGGCTGTACAAGTAGATCTCAGAATCACCTACAAAGAGAAAGAAGACAATTGAAACCATGGTTGCTGATTAGATCACCCAGTTAAATGATATAGAGGAAGAAGAGAAGAGGGCCCAGGACAGAGCCTTGAGGAAAATTCAGGAAGATTCAGCAAAGGAGATTGAGAAGGAGCAGTTGCACACGTAGTAGAACCAGGGGAGAGTAGTGTGACAAAAAATCTAGAGAGAAGACAGTATCAAGAAGAAGGTGATTGACAATGCAAAACGCTGCAGAGAGGTCAAGAAGGCTGAGGACTGAGAAAAGGCAATTAGATTTGGTTTAATCAGAGATCATTGGTAACTCTGGAGAAGGTAGATTCAGTTGAATAATGCAAACTCTAGAGAGTGAAAGGAAATTAAGTAGAGGCACCACTAGTGGAAGGTCTTCTCAAGGAGTTTAGCCATAAAAGGGAGGAGAGATATTGGGCAATTTGGAGAGAAGGGCCTACTGAGTGTTTTTTGAGGAGGGAGAAGATATGAGAATGCTTGTGGGCAGTAGGACAGTAAGACAACAAATAGGGAAAGCTTGAAGATAAAGTGAGAGAGTAAGAATGATAGAAGGGACAATCTGCTGGAGAAGATGAAATGGAATAGGACCACTTGTATATCTATATGGGTTTGCCTTGGCAAGAAGAGCCTCCTTTGCATGTGAGATGAGTCACACAGGAGACAGTAGGAAAGGGCATATGTATGATATGAAATGAGGAGGGGAGAGGAAGGAACTCTCAGCATGGCCTCAATTTTTTTAGGGAAATGTGAGGCAAGGTTCTTAGCTGAGAGGGTCAAGGAAGGGGCAGCCATGGGAGGTCTAAGGAGGGATGAATAGGTTTTGAAAAGCCATAATGATGAATGTGATAGTGAATCTATAAGGGAAATGTAAAAAGAATTGCTTTGTTTCAGTGAGAGTCCAGTTGAGATTATCTAACATAAATTTGTAGTGATCATGCAGTCAACATGGCTTTATGATTTTCTCCAGTTTTATTTAGCAGCAGGTATTTAGAAACAAAGGCAGTACTATGGGAGTAATCCAAGGATGAGACTTAGTAGGGCAAGATTGATAATAAGGGGGCAAGGGACTCAAAAGAAGAAGACAGGGTAGAATTGAAATGGTTCACCAAGGGGTCAAGATGGTGAAGGGGGAAAAGCCTAGCCAGCACAGTGCTCTGGAGAAACAGACACAGAAATATAGAGGTGTTAGACACTCCTAAGAGGAGTAAGAAGGAAGAGGAAACCTTATATGTCCTTAGCACAATGGCCTAAGGGAAAACTGAGGGGTGGAAGGATTAGAAGTCACAGTGTGGACCAAGGACAAGGTTAGGGGATATAAGGCAGAATGAGATACAGAATAATAACAGACTGTGATCAGTTAAGGGAATTTCAGAGCTCATGGACTAGAAGTGGGATGCTTGTGGGTGATAAATTCAAGGATACCAACCATCTCTGTGTGCAGCTGAGGAGGGGTGGTCATGGGAAATGAGTATTTCAAGGAACTGCAATTCAAAACTGTTAGGGTATTTAAGGAAGTATCACTACATATGTTGAGATTCTCTAGCATGAAAGTAGAAGTTGGTGAGGAGAGAAAGTCAGTGAATCAGGCACTCTAATTTGTTAAGGAAGGAAGGAAAATACCCTGGAGTTTGATAGATAACAACCATGAGAATCTTGATTTGGTGGTAAGTATAAATTGAATTAACCTAAAAACAGGAGTGATGGTAATAGAGGGAGAGCCTGGAAGTGGCAATGGCAAGCAAGGAGTATTCTAACTCTCCTCAACCAAGACTTGTGAGTCAAGGGGCATTAGTTAAAGTGAAACCAGTGCTTGGAAAGGGTACCAGGGAAGCTTTGTCATCAAGAGGGGGCCAGTGGGTGCAAGAAGATTTAGGAAGAAAGAAAAGGAAATGGTTTAAGATGAAACTTAGTTTTTAACCTATGGAACAGGCATTCCAGAAAGCACATTGGAACAGGTGGGTAGTTTTAGAGTGAGATTTTGGGGGAGTTAGTTTGAGAAGAATAAGAGAACAGTCAGAGTAGGTTGCAGCTGAGATTTCAAAATAATTGGGATGAGGGAGGGAATGGTTGGGTGGTAGTATGTCAATCATTAAGGTCTAAGTTCAGTTGCATTATCATTGTCCAGAGGGCGGCAGACTTTGGGGTGAAGTTGTCCCAGGGTATCAGCAACTATGTATAAATGGAAAGGGAAGGTTTCCTCCCTCCCTTCCTTTTTTTCTTCCTTTCTTCCTTCCAGGAGTAGGAAGGAAGAGTAAACCTAATATGTTCCCAGCACAATGAAAAGAGAAATAGAGATCCAATGGTGGTTGAGGATAGGGTAGTTCTGGTGGCCCTGGAGGGGAGGTGAATCCCAAACAAAGTAAGACATTTGTAGAGACATTAAGAAGTCAGAAATTATTACTACAGTTTTTTTTTACTCATTCACTATTATTATCATTAATAATAATGAGAGAAAAGATAGTTTTCTGTAGCAAAAGGATAATTTCCCAATTGATAATAAAGTTGAATGTATTTATTTCTCAACCTTTTTCATCCATAAAGCACCTCTAACAGGTTTTGGTTACATGAGTTTCAAAAATTCGGTTTTTAGCAATATGTATACTTTATCAAACTTTAATATAATTTGAATGGGGTATTTAAGTTTTGGTGAGAGTTCAATATTTGACTCTTTATGGAGACAGGCCAAAATGGGAACATGACCCATGACTGTAAACTACCTTGAGTAAATCTAAACAGCAAAAGAAGCTCCAACTATCTCATGGGAAAACTTGCATGTGACTTTGGGGCATCCTGGCACTATGCCTTCTTTTCTTCTGTTTTTATATAATAATACCTAATCTGGCCTGGGGTTGGTGGGATAATTAAGGCAGGAGAGGCTGTGCCTTACAGTCTCTTCAGCTAAAAGGGCAAGAAAGGTGCCAGTGAATTATGAGTATCATAAAAGTATGCAACAAGGTCATCTGTTAAATGAGCTAACCTCACTAATAGATTCAGTAGGATAAAACAATGGGACTAGGGATTTAACTTTTTAATTCTAACACATTCTGCTATCATTTAAGTACTGAACAGAGGTCAACCACTTTATTCCCTAGCTCCTAAAAAGTTTGAGGGGGAGGGTTGGGTTGAGGAAAATACATAATAATGCTGTCCTATAATACTGCCAAAGTATGAAAAAATACACAAAATAGAGTACAAAGCACAAAAAAATGAAAGCATTAAATATGACTTTCTGCTATCAGTTGTATTACATAGCCAACCATTTTATTCCCTAGCTTCTAAAAAAAGGCAGCTGGTATATGTGTGTTTTATGTGTGTGTGTGTGTGTGTGTGTGTGTGTGTGTGTGTGTGGCAGGGTGAGAAGGGGCAATGCTGCCCTATAATACAGTGTTACATATCATATGTCCTAACTACAACATGAAACAATGAATAAAAGTAACTATCCAGCACATAGTAGGTGCTATATACAAGTTAGCTATTATTATTGTTCTTTTATTATTATTAAAAAACAAATAAAAAAGCATTAAATATGCTATAATGGTCAGAAATATTGTCTATTTTTATTAAATGTAGCCTATTAGTCTAATCTTCTTACCTTTATGTTGGGAGACTTTACAAACATTTTTCTTTATCTTCTCTTCCTTCTTTACTTTTGTCTCAAACAGCTTTAAACAATTGCTGTTACCAGCTGTTCCAGAATATTCAGAGATAAAATCTTCTGAATAATCACACTGAGAACTAAAATTTCTGCTTGAACCTTGAGCTCTGCTATAATCAATACTTCCAATGCTGTTGTTACTGATTCTGGAAAAATCACCAATGCCTAGACTTCTATTGAATTCTGCAGGCTTACTACTGTCTTCCAATACTGCATGAAGGAAATGGTCATCTACATTTGTTTTTGTTGCATCAATCAATGCCATAGTAAGTAACCTAGTAGAAGTAAACATATTTGGTCATTTTTAGACAAAACACAAAATCTATGCTTTGCTATATCTTTACCTTTTTAAAAACAATTGCTTCCCCCCATAACAATTACACTATTTGGAGGGAAAGGGGCAACATGTAACAACCTATTTTATCATACCTTCTTAGAAAAAAAGATTAAAATTTGTTTTTGTTGTTCTATCATCATTCATAAAATGTAAGGTTTTTAGAAGTGTTCATGTGAACACTGTTCTATTTTCAAGGGTAAACATATAAGTAAAGTAAGTCTTCTGTCTGATTTAGAGAAATAAATCAAAATGTTTGCTGAGCTTAACTCCTTGGTAAAAACAAAAAAGTTCAGACATACTTCTGGAGTTGTAAAAATATATTCACATACTGATTATGATGTCAAGGTAAAATAACTTAGTAAGTTTCAAGAACAAAAGGATAAATGAACACAAGGAATATACTAATTATTTATTCTTGCTGCAAAAAATAGTCAGTGACTAATATTTAGTCATGACATGAGGCAACGTGGTAGAGTGGAGTATACTGGATTTATAATAATTGAATATGAGATTAAATCCTAGATCTTCAACTTGCTACCTCTTTGACTTTGGAAAAGTCACTGGCCTCTCTGGGCCTCAGTTTTCTCATCTGCAAAATGATGGGGTTAGATAAGATGACCTATAAGTTCTCTACCATTTCTAAATTCAACTTTAAAATGTTTAATAACTGACTCTCCAAAAAAAAATTCTACACACAATATGCTTTTAATCTATATTGTTAACACTTTCTTAAATATAGACAACTGACAAAACAATAAATCAAGCCTGATTGTAGCTTTTGCCAGTTTCCAAGGTGTGATTTCCAAGGTTTCAGGTCACACTGAATCGTTTCGATCCATACACTGGAACCTTACTATAACCAATCTGCAATTAAATAAAATCTGATATGATATAAATTCATTTAAACTGTACAAGGGTGTTTAATTTCTAATAGTATCAGAAGAACCTTATAAGGAGTACAGCAAGCCCTGAAAGAAATAATTATAGGTTGGCTTTAGTGTATATTCAACAATTAATTATCTAATTAATAAAAAGGAAAGATAATGACAGAATATATAAAAGAGTACGTAACTCCAAAGCCCTTTCTATTTGGTTTTGCCCCAAACTAAGCAATATATTTATTTTAAACTGTAGTCAAAAGTAGACTTTCACCTGCAGATGATTACATTATCTTGTATTGCAACTTAATGGCTTTTGCTTCACCAGGTATACATATTTAGAAAATTGGTCTCCCTTTTGTTTAGGCTTACTACAATGAATGTGAATTCTACACACCAAGTGAACATAGAAGAAGCAATCTGGAAAAAACAACAACAATAACAAAAACAAGAAAGGCAGTTAGGTAAGAAAATTTGGAAAATGGATAATTTATATCATGTACAGTGCCTAGGAGAAACTCACCCCACTAACTCCCACTTGCTGGGCAGATCTCCCTGATAAAGCTACCCCAGGTTCAAGGCTACTTCATGATTTCCCATACACTAAAACCATAACTCATAAGCCCCCATTAATATGTTTACCTTTAATAGTTAGCCTGAGAACACAATTAGATTGAAGCAAAGGCAATTAATAAAATGGCATTATAAGAAAAAAGTAGAAATAAAACTTTCCCCATAAACTTGGAGTAAACTCTTCTACAAATACACACACCATTAGAAGGAGAAGAGAAGACATCTTATTAGCACATGTGAAGAGGCACACACATAGAGAACACATAGTGAGACCTACATGTAGGGAATATGTGTAGCCAGGATGTATTGGTAGAGGGCCTATAATGTGGTGCGGGTGCATGTGTGGGATGGCACACACATAGGAAACACGTTTGGCAAGGACATAAAAATGGAGTGGAGGAGCAGCTCCTTCCCCTGATGCTAAAGGGCAATTGATGTCTTCTAGAAATACTGTCATGCTGTTTTTGCTGGGCCCTCCTCCTTACTGGTCCCCATCAGATGCAGAGACTTTCTTGAATTCTGTTTTGCTATATTTTGCTCAGATGGATGCTGAATGTATAGTTTCTGTGTGCCATTAGATGTGTAGTCTCCACTAACCACTGCAAGTCACAGCCTCACTGGGCAAAATGGCTAAGGAGCTTCTTTCTGCTTTGAGATTAAAATTGATCCTGTATAATTTTCTTATTGATTCTATTTCCAAGTAATTGGTTTTGCCTTGTAACTGCTTAAGTTAGGGTTCTTTCTCTCTGTTTCTTTCTCATAGTTCAGAGCTCAGCTGGCCTCTAATGGGGTTAAGTTTAAAGACCCAGCTTTCTTGCCTCAAGGAATTTAATCGACCTACAAGAACGTGTGTAAACCGAAAGGGAGTTTGGGTCTCGTATCTTTATGCCCAAGTTATCCTTTAAGGATATCTTGTTTGCTAAACAAAAGTCTGGGCCACTATCTTGTACTTGGGCTTAAACAAAGTGCACTTCTTAGTCTCTTGAGAGAAGAAAGGTTATTGCTAGCCCCAGTTACCAAACTTCCAACTAACCATGTTGTTCCCTGCACCTCAGCTGTGCAACCAATCATGTTGCCCTTCTACCCTGCCGTTTTTTGTTCTGTACTCTCTGAAACCCTACATAAGGGGAACTGCCCTCTTGGTTTGGGTCATTGGCATTAATGGAGTCAAGCCATGGATCCATTTATTGACAGGTAGCATGCTAATAAATGTTACCTTGTGTGAGATTTGTCTCAGCTTATCCTTTTGTTAAAGTCTCAATAGCAATAGCTTCCAGCATTTGATTTTAGTTAAAGTTCTTGCTTTTTTTTCATTTCTTCCTCATGAGATGAAGCTGTGCCATATTTCATTAGTTGAAAGCTAGAGGCTTTTAAAAAATGGCTCTTTTAGAAAAGTAGTCATGGGGGTGGCACAGTGGATAGAGCTCAGACCTTGGAGTCAGGAGGACCTGAGCTCAAACCTGGCCTCAGACATTTGGCATTTACTAGCTGTGTGACCATGGGCAAGTCACTTAACCCTGACTACCTCACCAAAAAAAAAAAAAAAAAGAAAGCAGCCACTCCTGCCCCAGTCATAGGACCAGCATTACCCTCCCTAGGGGGAAAAACAAATATTTTCAGTTTTTTTTCTTTTATGAAGTGGACTTTCTTTTCTTTTCCAGCTTCTTGCCTAGAAAGCTTTTCTATTCCCTAGCAGGATATTCTTTGCCCCAGGGACCAAGATTTTTAGGGCAAAATGCTAAGGTAGGGTTTCTCCCATCTAGTTAAAGACCAAAGTCTTTATCTCTTCTTTGGCTTGAACTTCCTAATCACATAGGTATCCTTGGGTGACATCATTCTAACTTATAATGAGAATTCCCTATGACTCTCAATTTCAATCTCCAGAGGCTAGGCAATAGCAGAATTAGTATGTTAGTATAGTAGAATCAACTTGTCCAATAACGGTGAGGTTTTAGGGCCTTCTAGTTCTCAGTTCCAAAAATCCCCTCCACTCTCTCATGTAGATGAGCATGAGGAAGAGAAAGGCATAGAGTCATCCCTACCTAAGAATTCCATCCCTGTTGGCCTATAGACAAGTGTCCCTTCTACATTAAAAAAAAAAATCACTAGATTACTACCATTTTCACTAGCTATCATGCTATTCTCTTTCTCAGGCTAACTCCTTGAGAAAGCCATCTACATTTAGTACCTCCACTTCCTCTCCTCATAATCTCTTTTTAACTTCTCTACAATCTCTTTGAATCTCATTACTCAGTTGAAACTGCTCATTTCAAAGTTACCAATGATCTCTTAACTGCCAAATCTAATAGCCTTTACTCTATCCTTTTCTTTTTTGAGCTCTCTGCAGCATTTGACACTGTTGACCACCTATTCTTCCTATATACTCTCCTTTCTGTGTTTTCATGAGATGCTCTCACATCTCTTTTATTCTTCACCAGTATGATGGCTCCTTTTCAGTTTTCTGAATCATTGTCTATGACTCACCTACCAACTATGGCTACATCCCAAGGCTCTGTCTTCTCTTTTCTTTCTACACTATCCCTCTACACTTAGTTATCTTTGATGAGGTCATGGGTTCAATTATCATGTCTATGTATATGACTCCCATATCTAACCTTGTTCAACCCTGGTCTCTCTCTCCTGAGACTAAAACACCAACTATCAACTGCACATTTTACATTGTACATTCCATATGCATTTAAAATAGCAACATGTAAATAACAATCTTTCCCCCTGATATTCACCAATTTTTTATACTTCCCTATTACTTTAGAGGGACTACCATTGTTTCAGTCACCCAGTTTTACAACCTGAGTATCTTCCTCATGTATCCAATTCACTCATCTCACATATCCAAATCCATTGCCAAGTCTTATTAGTTCTACTTTCACATCTCTATTATTTGTTCCCTTCTCTCCACTCACATAACCACCATCCTAGCTTAGGACCTCATCACTTATTGCCTGGAATCTTGCATTGGTCTTCCTGTTTCATTTCACATCATCTCAATCTACCTTCCACACAGCTGTCAAAACGATTTTCCCAAAACACATGTTTAAACATGACATTCTTCTACTCAGTAAATCCCAGTGCCTCCCTATTACTTCTAGGATCAGATATAAACTCTTCTGTTTGGCACTTAGAGCTCTTTACAATCTTCCCCCTTCCTATCTTGCTTTTCCCTTCCCTTATTTCTATGGTCTAGCCAATCAGGCCTGTTCATACATGATGCTTCCTTTCCCATTTCCATGTCTTTGCACTGACTTTCCCCCATGCTTAAAATTCTCTATCTTCACCTGTGTCCTGGAATTCCTGTTTTCCTTTGACACTCAGCTCAAGCACGATTTATTGAGGGATTTCTTTCCTGGCTCTCCCAAGAACCTACTCTAAGGTTACTTGTATTTGGCCTATATATGTCATATATACTATATGTATACATGTTGTTTCCTCCAGTAGAATGTAAGCTCCTTGTTGGCAGGGACTCTTTTGCTTTTGTCTTCGCATAGCCCAGGACCAGGCATAGTTAAGTGCTTAATAAATACTTAATAAGCTCAGGGAACAAATTCCCTTCCTCTACAACCAGTCTAGCCATATTTCTGGTTTTTTCATATATAAATACAGCTACAAGACTATAATTCTCTCAAAGGAGTTTCTTTACACATTGTTATGGTGGTGTAGGAAAACTCCTTAACACCTTCTTCACAAATTTATAATGTATCTTCTAAAAATAAAACACAAATCTAGCTCTGAATTCTCAACAAAGTTAATTAAGGTTGTAACAAATCAGAATAATATAATCAATTGAATATTTCTGACTAGCCAAAGCCTAAAATGATTTTGAACTTACCCTTCCTTACACATGCATGAAACGAAAGTTTATTTTACCTACTCTTAGTCTGTGAAGTATGGGAAGCCAAAAGAAATCATTAAAATGTTAAATATTTCTAGTAATAACATAGTTAATGGATAGCTCCACATTTTGATGAACTGGAGGCATTGTGATATAATCAAAAGAGCACTGAACTTGGAATCAGGCAAGACCTAGATTTGAATCCTATCTCTGATAGTTCTGAGCTGTGTAAGTCATTTAAAGTTATTGTGATGCTCAAAGAAGGTAATGAATGTAAAGAAACTTTAAAAGTTTCTGCCTTTAAAATTAGTATACCTCCTATCTAATGGGAATAAATGAATTTAGGGACAGTGTATTAGATTTCTAATGATTTGAATTTAAATGACAAAAATTAAACACACACACATACACATAAAGAAATTGGTCTTATGTAAGGTAGATTTTATTTAAGTTGGATAATGTAACATATTTTATTCTAGTTAGGAATATTCAATTGATTATATTATTTTGATATGTTTGATATAACCTTAACTTCATTAGGAACTCAGAGCTATATATATAAGTTTTACTTTTAGAAGCCACATAAATTTGTAAAGAAGGTATTAAGGAGTTTTCCTATGCCATTATGACAATGTGTGAAGAAATTCCTTAATCAATTTGAAACAGTTATATGATCTTATACTCTGGATGAAAGAAAGAGACACCACAGAACTGGCATGTCCTTTAGTCTATATAAAAAAGTAACCCTGGAATTGAGGTTTGTCAGTTTGATCTAGAAAAGTGGAGGAAGGACTGAAGTTTTTGAGAGGGAATTGTTCTTGTCTGCCTGAAGGGAGTTTCTTCCCCTTCCTCCTCATCCACAGTGGGTTACCTGCATGTAGCAGAGAAAAGAGTCACACATCCCAGAGTGACACAGATAGAAAGGGAGGAAGCAGCTTCAAAGAGCATGAGCCCTGGCAGCAGGAAAAAGAGTAAAGCTGCTTACTCAACAGAGCTAGACCTGACCATTGAACATTGGGGCCCAGAGAGAATTGCATGAAGAAGACAACTTTCAGGCCCTGCATTTCCAAAGCTGTGAATTGTCTTGGCAACTATTTTACATATGTGTCTCCTTATCAGCTGTACTTTAAGTTTCTTTTTTCCACAGATTTATCTTCCCACAGATACTTTATTTGCAGGAGAGTGCACCATAGGGTGTTTTGTTTGTTTCTTTTTTGGGGGGGGTAGGTGGGAAGGGGTGTTTTGTAAATGCCTTTGCTGGGAGCTAGTTGTGACCAATGACTGATAGTTAATGAGAAGTACAGAGGTTCATGAGCTAGAGTAGTGAGAGCAGAGCTCCACTTAGTTACCAAACTTGAAATAGCAGCCATTTTCTAGGGTTTCAAACTTTAGATGCAAGTGTCAAATTGGGAAAGTACCCAAGTTGGGAGAATGTTACATATTTAAAAGCTGATTAAAAAATAAACCATATTTGAAAATCAAATAATTTTTTTATTTTACAAATTAAGTGCAGAAGATACTGGTGAAGTCATTAAGAAGTAAAGTACTTCCAATCTGGCAGATTAATTATTTGGAAATTTTTTGTCATATTATTATGACCATCACCTCCCCAACAAAATAAGTTTAAAGTGTTTTATTTAGCTAAAAGAAGCTTATATGTTTCAGTTATTTTTATTTAACAAAAGCAATTATTTTGATAAAACATGACATTAATTTTTTAATAACTAAAACTTAAACCATTAAGCAAAAGAACTTGAAAATTACAGCTATTTCAATGGAAATATATGTGACATAAATTACAAATTTCTTTGCCTTAACAGGAAGAATGCACTAAGTATAATTTTACTCTTTCTAGACGACCCAGAGCCATTGATGCCCTGGACATAAAGCTGGTTTTGGAGTCAGAGGAACTGTATTTGAATTCTACTTCTCTTACTTACTATCCTTTTTCTCCTCTTTAATTGATTTTATATCCCCAGCTCCCCAGAGGCTGTTCCAAAGCTATTCTACTCTCCCCAATCTTCCCATACTACCATTCTCCCCTTTCCCTTCACTGAGGACCTTATCTTATACTTTACTGAGGAAATAGAGACCATTTCCCTTCCCCCTTTCCCATTCTCTCTTTCTCAAAATCCCTTGACATTATGTTTCATCCTTTCCTTCTTTACTCCAGTCTCTGACGAAGAAGTGATTCTTCCTCTCAGGAAGGCCAACTTCTCTACATGTACCTTTGATCTCATACCCTTATATTCTCTAGCATACTGACCCACAGTTATCCCTTTCTCCCCCTTTCTAATCTTCAAACTCCCTATTTACAGTTTCTTTCCTTGATGCCTATGAGTATATGCAAATCTCACCCTAATTATAAAAAAAAACCAACAAAAAAATTGTCACTAAACCCTAATATCCCTCTCAAGCTACAGTACTACATATCTCCCCATTTTCATTGCAAAAACTCGTAGAAAAAAGCTGTTCATAATTAATACCTCCTTTTCTTCTCTTCTCACTCACTTCTCAAGCCTTTGCGGGCTTAAGGCTTCCAATTCATCAATAAAAATGAAATTGCTCTAAGGATGCCAATAATATTAACTAAATATGATAGCCTTTTCTAAATATTCATCCTTCTTGACATCTCTGCAGAAGTTGACATTGTTTGCTGTCCTCTTTTATGGGATACTATATGTTTTTTTATGATACCTCTCTATTGGTTCTCCTTCTCCTTGTCAGACTGCTCCTCAGTCTTCTTCACTGGTTCATCATAATGAGAAAAATGATTATTAATAGCCAATGATTTGGGAAGGTTCAGCTTTCTCCCTTTTTCTTTTATCCTCATTTTAAGACCTTTGTCTCTGAAGGTTGGGTTAATCTTCTTCTCTTTCCAGACCCCACCTAGGTGGGGTAGCCATTGTGTTCCACTCAAGTTTGGGTAGGGATAAATTCTTTTAATAGATTGCCCAAGGCAGGGGAATAAATGACATAATCAAAGTTCAGTTCCAGTCCCTCACTATAATATTTATTCTCTCATTAACTGTTAACCAATCAGAGTTGATTGCCATCCTCAGAACACTTGTCTTCCGAAAAGGACATATAAGCTGTGAGTCTCCCACCATGACTGTCTTTGGTCCAAGAGGAAGATGGCCAAATGACCATCCTTTTATTAAAATGCTGGCATTTAATAAAATGATTAAATTGCCCAGAAATCATGTCTTGAACCTTTTTAAATGGCACAATCCATATCCTGTCCCCTAACCATGGGTATATATTCAAGCCTATCTTCTGAACCTTCTATCACTTGATGACTTCATCAATATCTATGTGTTTAACTATCAACTCTATGCAGATGACTACCAGATCTTTACATCCAGCCCCATTCTCTTTTCTGAGTTCCAGTTGTACATCTCTAATTTGCCAATGGTACATTTCAAACTGGATATGTGAGAGGCATCTCAAGCTGAACATGTCCAAAACCAAACTCATTATTCTCCCTAAAACTCATCTCTCTTCTGAACTTCCCTATTTCTGCAAAGGGTGCCACTATTCTTCCTGTCACTCAGGTTCATAACCTTGGCAGCATCCCTGACTGCTTAATGTTCCTCATACCACATATCTAATAAGTTGCCTAAATCTAGTCATTTCTACCTCCAAAACACCTCTTAGATCTATCTCCTTCTCTTTACACATATGGCCAGCACCTTAGTTCAGGTCCTATTACTATTATTTAGTTTAGAGGCCTTGTGAGCTACAGTGGGTACTGACCCACAGAGTATCTGAAGTGATATTTGTATTTAAGTAATCTAAGATAACATTAAAAGCTATTAATCTTTCACATTGGGGCTGCTTATGTAGACTTCCCTTAAAAATTGCCCAGTCCCTCAACAAAATTATAGGGACAGGGACTGGACTGAGATTTCATTGGGATAAGGAACTCCCAGATGAAAAAACTCCTACCAATGCAGCTCAGCATCTTCTCTGTAACTTGTAGTCTTAGAGAATCACCTACAACATGGAGAAGTTAAGTGAGTTGCCCAGGGTTCATACATTAATGTTTCTATATCTCAGATTTGGAAGAGACTTCTGAGGCCATTTGCAAAAATTCCTACCTAAGAATCTCACTTACAATAGCCCCAACAATAGCTGATCCACTCACTGCCTTTGAAAATCTCAAGCGAGAGAGAACCCACTACTAATTTTAAATATTCTTTTCCCTTTTTTTAAAAAAAAATGTAAGTTTTTTCTTATACTGTAACTAGCACTGCTTCTCTGCAGTTCTACCCATTGCTCTAAGTTCTGCATTTAGGGGGCCAAAAGAACAGTCAGTCCCCATTCCAGGGAGATAGTATAATGGATAGAGGGCTAGACCTTCATGTCTAGAAAGATACGAGCTCAAATCCAGCTTGAGACACTTACTAGTTATATGACCCTGGGCAAATCACATAACCTATTTGCCTCAGTTTCCTCATCTTTAAAATGAGGATAATAAAAGCACCTACATGTTATGGCTGTGGTAAGAATCAACTGAGATAATATTTATAAAGTGCTGGCACATAATAGGTACTATATAAATGCTTATTCCCTTCCCCTTGTACATTTCCTTTTTCTCTCCATGACATGGATGTAGGGTTACCATATAATCACTCATTTGAAAGGCATCTACTGTTGACAGATGGAACTCAAATGGGTAATTAACTCTATTTTTTAATACTTTGAACTCAGAGAGCTCTCACTGCAATTGTTACAGCGAGAGGCCATAATTTATATATCTACTCTTCTCCCTTCTCTTTTCAAAGCTAGTATTTCCCTAATTCTTTCAACTGATCTTCATACAACATGATATCCAACCTGACAATGTCGTTCTTAAAATATAGTGCCCAGAACTGAACAAAACAGTACAGAAATGATCTGACTAGGGAACGGTGCAGCAGAATTACCTCCTCCCTCTTGACACTATTCAGATCTTAATTTAGACTAAGACTGAATTTTTTTGTGGGTATTTTTGGCTGTCTTGTCATACTGTTGAATTAAATTGAGCTTATCATACATTTAAGTGCCAAGACATTTTTCATATAAACTCATCTAGACATACCTCCCCCATCCTGTACTGGTTAGAGAGTTTACATTTATCCCTATTAAATCTCATCCTATTAGATTTGACTCATTATTCTAGTCTGTGGGGATTTTTCTGATTCTCTCATACAATATGTTAGCTGTTCCACTTAGTTATTCAGTTATTGTCTACATAGTCAAAGCGGTGCACTGAAACACACACACACACACATATATATATATATATATATATATATATATATACATGTATATGAGTATGTATTTGTGTGTGTGTTTGTATATATATGTGTGTATATATACATATATATACATGTCTTTGTGTGTATACACACATCTATCTATCTATCTATCTATCTATCTATCTATCTATCTATCTATATCTATCTATCAGTAAAGTCAGGTAATCTGCATGATTCAGGAAAAATATCCCCTTGAATTGGCCTGTGAAGCCAATAAAAATTACTTATATATATCGTAATGAGTAAAATAATTTATTGATACCATTCCACATTAGCACAAATTTTGCATTGCTCTTTTTTAACAGTATCACCATGTTAAATGAAAAGTGACCACTGAATGAAGGAATATAAAGCTGAACAAAAATCAATCAGCTAGTCAACAAGCATTTGTTAAACCTATTTATTAGGCAGTGTGCTAAGTGGCACTAATATTAGTAGCCTTATAAATTACCATTCTAAATATAAATTCCAAAATAGGCTCATGAATTATTGAAGAGAGACATTATCTTTAAGGCTACCTCTTATCGCAGATGTAGAAACTGCATCTCAGACTTTGGCCAGATTCTCATGTCATCTGTGAATATTATGACACGATCAGGGTTTCCAGATAATCCAGAAAAATGTCTTTTTGTAGGGGTAAGATGGCAACTGGTCTCAAAAAGTCATTTGATGGCAAAAACTGTGTAAGAGAAATGCATTGTAATTGTATCATAATACAGATTACACATACAGCATATATTAATTGTTCTAGAGGAAGAGTGGTATGTTGGATAGAAGGCAGAACTTGGTGTCAGGATGACTTGGGCTTGAATCCTGCCTTATCTACTTTAGTGTGATTTTGGGCAAGTCCTTTTCTGAGTCTGTTTCCTCAGAGCTGTTGAAAATATCAAAGAAGATAATATATGCAAAATACTTTGCAGACTTTAAAAAACAACACAAATATGAGCTACAATTATTATCAGGATCTGATGAAGAAGGAACTGCTAGGCTGAGGGTAGAGGGCAGGCCATTTCAAGGAATAAGAATTAGACTGATGATTTCTCAGCAGAAATAATGTATGAGGCAAGAAATAACCAAATAGAAATTAAAAAAGAAAATGGTCAGGAATCAGATTTCAGGATGGAAAGGAAAAAATTAGGACAGTGAATAAGCAAGTGAGGTAGGGGTGGGAAAGAAAATTCATTTTGTCATCTATACACATTTTTATTATGCACTAGTACATGGCACTGTGCCTCCATGGAAAATAAAATAAAAACATACAAAGTTTTACAAACATAGTTTGTGCCCTTTAGGGCTAACAATCTAGTAGAAGAGGTAAGATGCCTATTTAAACATCTATATGGCAAGGCATGCAGTGAAAAAAATTACTGTAGGAATGCTGAGAAGGACTCACTGGAGTGATCTGGGATGTAGGACCTGGATTTTAATCGTGAGCTGATAATTTTGGCTCTCTGGGCCTTGGTTTCTTCAACTTTAAAACGTGGCGTTGAGCTACATGATTTTTAAGGCTCTTTCCAATTCCAAATCCTATAATTCTGTGATTCACTGAAGGTGGTAATACAGTTGAGTCAGCAAAATAAAGAGAGGTGGGAGAAAAAGAAAAATGCGGTGGTGTGGGGAGAGACAGGATCCCAGTATTCCCGTATTCCAGGCAGAAGAAATCACTGGGGCATAGTTTTGAAATAAGAAATTTTGTTGTATGATAATAGCTAACATTTATATAATCGCTTACTCTGTGCCAGGCGCTTTACATTATCTAATTTAAGACTCACAACCCTGCCAGGTAGGTGCTCCACTTCATGAAAGAGGAAACTCAGGTAAACAGGGATTAAGTGACTTGCCCGGGGTCACCTGAGCTTGGATTAGAACAGGGGTCTTCCTGACTCAGACCACGTGCTATGTCCACTGCAGCGCCTATTTCAGGAGGTTGTCCAGCAGTCTAGATTGGCTGCAACAGCGGCAGTAGGCTAGGACAGGCACTGAATGCCAGGCTGAAAAGTTTGTCTCTCCTAAGCTTTTAAGCACAGCTCTGTAGCAATGAAATGGGTGTTCAAATAATATGAATTTGAAGGGGATGAGGCAGGTGCTTGTTAAAAGAGCCGGGACAAAGGATGACGCGACCGTGAACTTGGGCAGCGAGACCGAGGGGGGATGGGCAGAGAAGGGGCTGTTATCCCGGGGAGGAGTGTCTCCCCCGTATCTCCGGGCTCGGTGTCCCCGGGGCCGGCCGGTAGTAGGGCTGGGGGCATCCGAGGAGGGAGGGAACGAGTCGGGGCCAGGGCGGCTCATTCGGGGGATCTCGCCCCAGCCCCCCGCTCGCGTACCCGAGGCATCTTTTAGGCGTTACCTGCTCTTCCCGTGGCTCCAGAAGCCCTTGTGTTTTCAGTTTACTGTTACCATGGAAACTGCGGAGCGCGACGCCTCCGGGAAGCGGAGGAAGGACTTCCGGGACACCGGCTCTCGGCGGTGCCCCAGGGCCCCTTTCCTCCCCTCCGCGTCCAGGTCTCGAGCGGGTATCAGCCTTAAAGGGCCCGCCCCATCCTGGTCAGGCTGGTCTCCCGAGACCGGGGCGGGGAGCCCTCCGCGCCTCCTGCGACTTCGCCCAACTTTCAGGATGCTGATTTAGCCTCCCTAGGGTCAGGATCAAAAGCTATCAGGGGGCTTTAGGCATCGTCTAATTAGGCCCTCTCCTTTCCAGCTGAGAAAATTGAGACCCAGAGGGCACGTGAATTCCCCAAAGCCGCTCTGGTTTCCTCCGTGCTGAGCTGCCTTCTCTGGCCAGGCCAGCGCGCACCTGGCGTCAGTCCGAGAGAAAAGGACTTCGGGGCGCGGAGACCCGCAATAAATGAGCAGCAGGAAGCCCAGTGTAGAATGAAACCCTGAACCCTAAGGCCCAGTGACCCAGCCTGTTTTCCTAGCATTTGGGAATTTCATATCGCAAAGAATGTTAATAATTACAAATATTAACGTGATTGTCCTACCTTGTGCAAGGCACAGAAATGTATTAGCACCAGCCCTCAAAGAAATGACTATCTAGTAAGGGAAATGACATGCGCACAAACAAATATCACAAGGTAATGTCTGCTAAATTCCCAGAGAGGTCATGGAAGGAGTTGAGGGGGCTGTAACTGGAAGTCCGGGAGGGTTGGGGGTTTCAGAGGAAGAATGCACCCGGAATTTTAATCTAGGAGTCAGTCAAAAAACGTTGCCACTTACCATGTGCCAGGCATATAACTATGGAGCTAGAAAGAAAGTAAAAAAACCATAGCCCCATTCCTCAAGGAACTCACATCCTCAAAGGGGACAGAAAGAATTATGTACATATTAGATATGTGTAAAAGGGAAGTAAGTCGGCTTCTCCCCAGAATCTTTTTCTCCTTTCAGCAATCTAAAGTGGAGTTGGCCATTGTCCATCTTCTCTCTCAAAAGATGAAAGCCCCAAAGAGACTGAATAGCCCGAAGTTGGATCTCTCCTCGTATTCTCAACAACTCTGGTCCTGTCCCCACTAACTCGATTCAAGAAGCATTTATTTGGCACTCTATGCTGTTCTGAGTCCCGGGGAGACAAAAAACGGTGAAAGACAGTGCCCTCAAGGAATTTGCAGTCTAATGGGGGAGAACCACATGCAAACAAATACATACAAAGCAAGCTGTATATAGAATAAATAGGAAACATAGGAGGAAGGCAATGGAATTAAGAGGAGTTGGGAAGGCTTCTTGTAAGAGGTGGGATTTTAGTCGAGCTTTAAAAAGGAAGCCAGGGCAGTAGTTGGAGCTGAGGAGAAAAAGTGTTCCAGGTGTGGGGGACAGCCAGAGAAAATGCCCAGAGTAGAGAAATGGAGTGTTTTGTTAGTGAAACAGGAGACCAGTACCACTGCATTGAAGGGTATGTGGCAAGGGACTGAAGTGTAAGGAGAGTGGAAAGATAGAAGGGGACTAGGTTATGAAGGGCTTTGAATGTCAAATTGAGTATTTCTGCTAAATAAATATATTTGCTGCTAGAGACAATAGGAAGCCACTGAAGTTTATTGAAGGGGGAGAGGGGGTGGTGGGTGACATGATCAGAGTTGTGTTTTAGGAAAATCACTTCAATGACTGAACAGAGAATGAATTGGAGTGGGGAGAGACACGAGGTAGGCAAACTTAGCAGGCCATTGCAGTAATCCAGGCCTGAGATGAGGAGGGCCTGTAATAGAGTGGTGGCAGTGTCCAGAGCCTTAGAGAAAAGGGCGTATACAAGAGATGTTACAAAGATGAAATAGGCAAGTATTGGCAACAGCTTGGATATGGGGGGGTGAGAGGTATTGAAATATCCAGGAGAGTTTAGGGAGAAAGATAGTGAGTTCTGTTTTGGACCTAGCGAGTTTAAGATATTTACTAGGCATTCGGTTTGAGATGTCTGAGTTTAAGATATTTACTAGACATTCAGTTTGAGATGTCTGAAAGTCTTTTGGAGATGAGGGGTTGGAGATCAGCAGAGCAGTCGGGGCAGGAAAGGTAGATTGAAGAATCATCAGCATAAAGATGGTAATTAAATCTGTGGAATTTAATTTGATCTCCACCAATCTGAAGAGAGTCCTGAATCTTTGGGTTCAGGAGCTTAGATTACACATACTTTTTTTTTTCTCAAAGAGCTGCTTGTTAAACATTTACTCTCATTGAGTTTTGAGTTTTTCAGTAACTTTCAAAGACTCTAATAAGTTGTAGAGAAGAGCAAAGAAGGGAAGTACTCACAAATCATATAAACAAAAACCACAAAATCTGGTAAAATGTATAACTTTCTGAAGTTAATTTTGTGAAGTTTGTAATTTTGTAAAAGCTAAAATTTTCTCATGAATAAGGGAAATTTCATAGTGCAATTCAATCAAATCACCCCATCCTTTTTAACTAACAATGTACCTGATACCTTGATGTGGTGACAACACCTCAATTGAATTAATCAAAAACTTTAGACTAAGTGAGAAAAATCCTGAGTCAATTTAGAAATCTTTCAAAGTGAAATAAGGCCATTCAGGCACACCCTGTGGTAATTTGAGTGTCGGGTGTGTGTGTGTTGGGGATCGGGGAAGAGGAGGAGAAGAGAAGAGCCACAGCCACAGCCACAGCCTCAGGCCAGGTCTTGTTCTCTCTTTGTTCAGAGAAGGATGTCATAAACTTCAGACAACTAGAGGATTTGGACATTTCTGTAATCCTAGCAGTGTCCCCCAGCATAGTAGCAGTGTCTATATTAGAGGCTGAAGACAAAGTAAACATACTAACGTGAGATTGCTTCAAAATTCTACAATGAACCTAGCAGAAAACCTGTAACATGCCTAAGGGGAACTTCATGAGTTCCCCACAAAGGGGAGTAAAGGACTATAGCAACCTGGAGCTTTGAATTACCCCTTTGCCAGATGTGCTTTCTAAGTTTGCATTCACTTTCCTCTGGACTCCAGTGGCTCCCTATTACCTCCAGGATCAAATGTAAAATCCTTTGTTTGACTTTAAAAACGCTTCGTAATTTGGGCTCTTCCTACCTTTCCAGTGTCCTTAGACCTTACTTACCTCCACATACTCTGCAATCTAGGCTTCCTTGCTGTTCATAACACAGGACACTCCATTTCCTGACTCCTGGGATTTTTATGGGCTGTCCCTTATGCTTCTTTCCCTCCCCATCTTTGCCTCCTAGCTTCCCTGGTTTTTTTCAAATCTTAGCTAAAGTTCCACATTCTACAAGAAGCCTGTTGCAGTGCTCCTTAATATCTTCTTCCCTGTGAGACTACCACCAATTTATCCTGTATGTATCTTGTTTGTAATTTTAATTTTTTTTGCTGTTGTTTCCCTCTATATGCTGTGAGCTCCTTGACAGCAGGGATGATCTTTTTACCTTTCTTTGTAACTACAACATTTAATAAATGCTAGTTGACTGATTGACTTTGTACATTCCCATGTGGGAGAATGTCACAGACTTCAGGGAGATGTTTTATAACAATTGCTTCTAAAATCTAGTTAAATCTGGTTAATCGTTATCAACTGATAATCATGGGATAAGTGAACCAAATAACCCCCATTGTCTTAGGGATACCCTTGGAAGCCTGAGGGGATATGTAGGAGCTGATTTGTGGGGAGCCAGATCCTGAGTACAAGTTGGGGTTGGGAGAGTGGCTCCGGAGCTTGTGTTATAACAGATTAACAGTTCGTGAGAAAGAATAAAGACCTTTTCTGATCTCTGATTCAGACTCCAAACTCTTGATTTCGGTGTTCACTGTCCCACACTGTCCCACACTCCTTTTGTACCTCATCTGGTATGGAAGTGACCCTGAATTCTTAATGGCTATACCAGTGGAACTTGGGTATAGCTCTTTTTAGGTCCTACCAAGTTGGAAAGGCTTGGAAGTTACCTGATAATGTAGTGGATATTTGTACTGTCCAAAGAACAGCCTAGATAAATTTGGAGAGGCTCTTCATCTGGATGACTAAAGTGTAACACATTTTTATTTATTTTTTTTTAGTGTAACACGTTTTACAGTACATTCATGTTTCACAATTTGTTTAACTATTCTCCAGTTGATGGGCATCTACTTTGTTTCTTAACTATCACAAAAAGTGCTGCTGTACATATTTTTTAATATACAAGGACTTTTTCCTTACTATTGGCTTCCTGGAATATAAGCCTTCCTCAGCAAAATGGGCTATTTATTTTATTGTTCCCTCTCTTATGACTGATAGCCTTCACTCCTTCCTGGAAGCCTCCTAGGGTTATACATAGATGAGCTGAGGGTGGGGGAACTTGTAGATATTATCAGTTAAAAGCATCACATCTGAACCCTGTGCATATTATTTGGGGATCACATGAGACATATAACTGAGATCCTGTTTGTTGTCAATACATATTGAACATTCCCATGAAGTGTTTCTGAAAGAGAAAGGACAGTGCACTAATTTCCTAATTAATCACATTTTCTGGGACTTGACTAAAATTTTGAATAACTGAAAGTTTGTCTTTCTGGAGTAGGCACTCAGCCTGCCTTTTAATTAAATGTAAATTTATATAAAAATAAAGCTTGGATGGAGGCTGTATTATGAACTTTTGATAACTTTGAAATGTGTTATAGATAAAATTTTGAATCATGCCCAAAAGTTTGAGAAGTTATAGAGATTGAATATACTTTTAAGTGACCATATGATGACAGCAGCCTTTCTTGAAACAGTCTTTAAAAAAGTTACTTTAGAAAACAATGAAATGAAATAGCAGTATAAAGCTTGTTAGTTTCCATATTGTAGGAGAAACATATGCAAAGGTGGAAAATTATTGGACTCTGGACACAGGCAAAAAAATAGGTTCATTCAAAAGAATCTTTTCTAGTATGATGAATTTTTTTACATGCCAGGGAATTTAAAATTGTATTATGTAAAAGTGTAGTTAAAATAGTAGTTATTTATCCAAAGATAAATACATATCCTTTAACTTAAATCTAGTAGTAAGACTACCAGTAAGCACAGCCTTCCTCATGACAGTGGAGCTTACTGGGCTTTTTCAACACTAAAATAACCCTCCTTGTCAAGTCCTCCTCCCCTCCATATTTGCATAGTATTTTCTGATTGGTGTATAACTTTCCCTTGCCTTTTAGGGATTATTCCTGGTCAACTTAAAGAGATTTGGATGGGGTCTAATGCAATGTCTACATTTACCAACCAATCATATATTTGCTCAAATAATTCCACAAAGACTCATTAGCCAATGAAGAGAAAAGCCCTAAATGCCTATACTTGTAACAGACAGATTTTCTTACGGTGAAGGGGGAGGGAGCAGCTGCTGCTTCTAGCAGCTCACTTCTTATTTGCCTAGTAACTTTTATTTCACTGAGTATTTTAGAGAGAGATTCTTCTTTCTGACTGTCAAAATGGTTATCAAAGTTTTTGTTGCCACGTCTTCTGGTTCTATAGCGGTGAGTGTTTGATGGCATTTATGAGTCTTTCTTGTGTTTTCTGACTTACAGAAGGGAGTTTGAAGTTAAGAGGCAGTGGGTATGAGGAGACTGTTGGGATTTG